ACACACACCTTCCTCTGCTGCCCCCTCCAGCCCCCGTCCCTCCATCCCCCCCTTTGTCATCCCTACTCCCCAACTGACAGGTGCAGAGACCTGACAACATGCCCTAGGAGTGGCCGGGGGGGGTGGGTCATTCAGGGCCTGGGGAGTGTGTGTGTGTGTGTGTGTGTGTGTGTATACATCCATGTATATATGTTTCCACTTTGTGTGTCTGTGTATTGTATGGCTGTCTTGTGTGTGTATATATATATTGTGTATATGTGTGTGTGTGTATATACAGTGTGTGTGTATTATGTGTGTGCAGTGTTTGTGTTTATAGCGCGTGTGTGTGTGTGTAGCGGGTGTATACACACATGTACGTTACCACTTTGTGTGTGTGTATTGTGTGTGTATGTAACATGTCTAGTGTGTGTGTAGGTTTGTGTGTGGATTGTGTGTATGTAACATGTCTAGTGTGTGTATGTGTGTATTGTGTGTGTAACATGCATAGTGTGTGTTTGTGTGCAGATTGTATGTATGTAACATCTAGTGTGTGTACGTGTGTGTGTAGCATGTATAGTGTGTGTGTAGGTTTGTGTGTAGATTGTGTGTATGTAACGTGTCTAGTGTGTGTGTAGCATGTGTGTACACACGTACATGTTTCCACTTTGCGTGTCTGCATGTGTCGTTCTACTTTGCGGGTGTGTTTCCGGGGTGTGTGCACGTTTCTCTCTCCCCTCGGCGTGTGGCCGTGCACTGGGGGGGCCTTGTGCAAATCCCCCCCCATTATAAGCCCCCAACCTGCCAGACCCCACCCCCCCACTGAGCCTGCATCTCTGCCCCCAGCTGGGACAGGACAGTGGGGGAGGGGGACTTCGGGGGGGGTATTTTGGCCAGGCCCCCACCCAGCAGGCCCTGAGTTGATGCTCACAGTAGATCTGGAGTTGGGGGGAGGGGCGCTCAGGGGTGACTCCACTGGCCTCATTCTCTTCTCTCTTCCCCTGGGGCAATCAGGAGTGACTCCAGTTTGACTCCAGTTTAAGAGCGGAATCGGGTCCCGGCTCAGCTCCACGGACCACCTGCTTCCCCAGGTGGTTGGGGGGGGGTGAGTGTGACAGAGCCTGGGTGTGGCTCTGTGTGTGTTTGTGTGTGAGCACACGCGTGTGCAAAGGACCCTTTCAAAGCGCCTGGGGTGAGCAAAAGCAGCCAGAAAGCTTCAGCCCTCAACGCGCACGCGGGGGCAGCCGAGTGTGAGCGGGACCGAGGCGCGAGGGTGTGAACACGGCAGGGGCCCAGCGGGGTGGGGGGCGTGTGCCAGGCTCAGTCTGCAGGAGGGGGAGTGTGTCGCTGTGAGTGGGACTCGGGGCGTGGGCGTGTGTGTGTCAGCCTCAGCATGAGTGTGCGTGTCTGGGCGGCTGTGAGGACGAGCGTATGTCAGTGCGAGCGTGTGCGCATGTTGTGAGTGGACACGGGACTGTGTGATTGTAGTTCAGTGCATGTGTGCGTGAGTGCGGCTGTGACACTGACACCGACTGTGCCTGGGTGTGAGTGTGTCAGTGCAGCTGTGAGGACGACTGTGCGTGTCAGTGTCATGGTGGCTGTGAGGATGGGTGTACACGAGCGTGTCCATGTTGGTGCGGTTGTGAAGACGACTGTGCGTGTCAGTGTCAGGGTGGCTGAGAGGACGGGTGTACACGAGTGTGTCAGGGTGGTTTTGAGGACGACTGTGCGTGTGCGTGTCAGCGTCAGGGTGGCTGTGAGGACGGATGTACACAAGCGTGTCAGTGTCGGTGCGGATGTGAGGACGGGTGTACACAAGCGTGTCCATGTTGGTGCGGCTGTGAGGACGACTGTGTGTTCCATGTTGGTGCGGTTGTGATGACGACTGTGCGTGTGCGTGTCAGTGTCAGGGTGGCTGAGAGGACGGGTGTACACGAGCATGTCAGGGTGGTTTTGAGGACGACTGTGCGTGTGCGTGTCAGTGTCAGGGTGGCTGTGAGGACGGGTGTACACGAGCGTGTCCATGTCGGTGCGGCTGTGAGGATGACTGTGCGTGTTAGCGTCAGGGTGGCTGTGAGGACAGGTGTACACGAGCATGTCAGTGTCTGTGCGGCTGTGAGGACGACTGTGCGTGTCAGTGTGGCTGTGAGGACGGGTGTACACGAGCGTGTCCGTGACTGTGAGGACGACTGTGCCCTGCCCTCCAGGGGGCACCGGCCCCCATCCAGCCCCAGGGTGGGGAGTGGGAGATGGGACCCCATGAGCCCCAGACGAGGTGGGTGATGGGATCAAGGGGTCTGCGCTCACCAGCCCCACCCCCAACCGGGCCAGGCCGGGGGGCACCAGGCATCACCCCACTGCCCCGTAGCCTGGCTTGGACCCCACGCGCCAGGCTTGGGGGGTCCCACGCGGCAGGGCCAGCCCCCGCCCCAACGATCCCTTCTCTCCCCTGCAGAGGCCCCGGGGCCATGGGCCGTCCCCGCTAGCCCCGGCGGCCGGCGATGGCAAACGCCAGCGAGGCGGACGAGCCGGGCCCGCCGGGCCCCCCGGCGGCCTCCAACTACGCCAAGCTGCTGCTGCTGGGGTTGATCATCTGCGTGAGCTTGGCGGGGAACCTGGCCCTGGCGCTGCTGGTGCTGAAGGAGCGGGGGCTGCACCGGGCCCCCTACTACTTCCTGCTGGACCTGTGCCTGGCCGACGCCGTGCGGGCGGCCGTCTGCTTCCCCTTCGTCCTGGTCTCCATCCGCCACGGCTCGGCCTGGACCCACAGCCCGCTCAGCTGCAAGGTGGTGGCCTTCCTGGCCGTCCTCTTCTGCTTCCACGCCGCCTTCCTCCTCTTCTGCATCAGCGTCACCCGGTACATGGCCGTGGCCCACCACCGCTTCTACGCCAAGCGCATGACCCTGTGGACGTGCGTGGCCGTCATCTGCATGGTGTGGACCCTCTCGGTGGCCATGGCCTTCCCGCCCGTCTTCGACGTGGGCACCTACAAGTTCATCCGGGAGGAGGACCAGTGCATCTTCGAGCACCGCTACTTCAAGGCCAACGACACGCTGGGCTTCATGCTCATGTTGGCCGTGCTGGTGGGGGCCACCCACGCCGTCTATGGCAAGCTGCTCTGCTTCGAGTACCGCCACCGCAAGATGAAGCCGGTGCAGATGGTGCCGGCCATCAGCCAGAACTGGACGTTCCACGGGCCGGGGGCCACCGGCCAGGCGGCCGCCAACTGGATCGCCGGCTTCGGCCGGGGCCCCATGCCGCCCACGCTGCTGGGCGTCCGGCAGAACGGCCACGCCGCCAACCGCCGCCTGCTGGGCATGGAGGAGTTCAAGGCCGAGAAGCGGCTGGGGAAGATGTTCTACGTCATCACCGTCCTCTTCCTCCTGCTCTGGTCGCCCTACATCGTGGCCTGCTACTGGCGGGTCTTCGTCAAGGCCTGCAGCATCCCCCACCGCTACCTGGCCACCGCCGTCTGGATGAGCTTCGCCCAGGCCGCCGTCAACCCCATCGTCTGCTTCCTGCTCAATAAGGAGCTCAAGAAGGGGCTGGCGGCCCACGTGCCCTGCCGCAGGACAGAGCCCCCCCTGCCCCGGGAGCCGTACTGCGTCATGTGAGGGGGGGGCGCTGGATACGTCACGCCGGGGGTGTCCCCGAAGGGTCAGGGCCGGGGGAGAGGGTTCGAGGAGCTGGGTGCGGCAGGGGAGGCCGGGAGGCTGGCCATCCAGTGTCAATCCAAAGATAACCACCGACTGCATGGGGGGGAGGGAACGAGTCTTGTT